TTGTCACTTGTGATCTGTGGGTGGGGCCCGGACTGCGCATCTCGGAAGGCTCCCCGGTCTGTGGATTTCTAGCTACACTGATGTTTGAGAACTACTGCTAAGTTCTAGCAGCTGGAGCCTCCGGTGGGAAATTCGGCTACGTGAGCCACTCTGAAAGGGAGACAGGCTTCCATCGGCCACTGAGGAGCACAGGGCTGCAGGCATCAAGTGGCAGGACTCTGAGTGAAGAGGGCGCCCCCCTCAGGTTCTCAGAGGAACATGAGCACCAAGGCTTGGGTCACCCGGAGGCCAGGAACTCTGGGCCCTGGGCCGCCCACAGGGAGAGGGCCGGTGTGGCCAGATCCCTCCAGGCCTCCAACATTAGCCTTTCTCTAAAAACAAACAAACAAACCCTCTCAAGTTCCCTTCTGATAACTGGAATACACTTTTTTTAAAGATTTTATTTATGTATGTATTTTTAGAGAGAGGGGAAGGGAAGGAGAAAGAGGGAGAGAAACATCATTGCCCTCTTTTGGGGACTAGGCCCACAACCCAGGCATGTGCCCTGGACTGAGAATCGAACCAGTGACCCTTTGGTCCACAGGCCTGCACTCAAACCACTGAGCTACACCAGCCAGGGCTGAAATACACTCTTAAGGCATAGATGCAAGGACATTTGCAAATAAAGCTGGTATGCCTATAAGTGAATATTACTCAGCCTTAAAAAGGGATTTCTTACACATGCTACAACACAGATGAACTTTGATGACATCATGCTAAGTGAAATGAACCAGTCACAAAAAGACAAACACTATGTGATTTCACTATAGGAGGTACCTGGAGTCACCGAAGTCATACAGACAGAAAGTAGAAGGGTGGTGGCCAGAGGCTGGAGGCCGGAGAAATGGGAAGTTTCAGTTTCACGGGTACAGGGTTTCGGTTTTGCAAAGTGAAAAGAGTCCTGGCGCTAGACCGTGGCCATGGCTGTACCACAATGCGGACATATTTAATAACACTGAATTGCACAGTTACAAACAATTAAGAGAATAAATTTATGTGCATTTACCATAATAAAATAATTGGGAAGAAAACATTTATAACTATTTGGGAGAGCCAAGGATAGCAGTCAAGGGATAGGCACCTAGAGATAAGGTCCTCATAAAAGAACTGCAAAAAATGAAAATACAAGCAGTGTCTAAATTTTAAAACAAGTTAGCTTCCCAAAGTGTATCTGCAAGATGATTATCAAATGGAAGCGCATTTCCCAGCTTGTCCTATAATGTACCTGAAGCACAACACGCATCCATGAGAAATAAATCTCTTCCCCCTGAGAGCAGGGCTTGGTGGTCCAGGAGGTTGGGGGGCAAATGGTGGGAAAAGCTGGGAGAGGCAGAACAGTACAATCCCCAAAGCAGCAAAGAACTATTCTTATTCAATGCAGGTATGCAAATTATGCATAAGTAGTAGCCAAAAAAAAGTCAGTGTTTTCACTAAATTTTACTAATTTTAAGAGGGCTTAAAAATAATAATCAAGAGTTGCTTTGTAACTTAATTAGACTAGTATTCTTAAAATACATGTCTATAAAGATAGAGAAAACTTACTATGTTCTACCATCAGACCCTACACAATAAAGGAGACAAAAAAATAAGAACAAAAACCTAGAAATTTTACTAGATTAAAATAATTATTTGCTATTAAAATTCCTGAAGGTAAAAAGGACTACTTGAAGATCAAAAGCAATTTACATAATCCAGAGAGGAGGACAGTAAAATAAGTGCTTCATTCACACTTAGTGTGTAAAGGTACATGTTACCCTGTAGAGATGCCAACGAGCCCGCGGAGTGGGAAGGGTATTTAAAAATGCCCCTCTGATTATCTGCACAGTCACTACGAGTCACAGCTCTGACAAGTCCTGCGTTTTTAGTACACTGCCCTCCACTCATAATAACAGGAGAAAACTCCAGGTTTTCTCTAGAAACAAAATGGAATTTCAAAACACTCCCCTAAAAATAAGTATTTTCCCCTCCCTGAGATTAATACTGAGAATGGCCACTGCCTTTGGAAAACAACAATAGAGGCTATAATGGTGAACTATAAATAATAAATATATTTCCACCATAGTCATTATTAACTGATGAAAAAAAAAAGAATTTCAGTAATAAGCACTGTAGAGTGCATGAATGCTGCGTAGGAGCCAGGGAAAGATAGCAACCAAAGCTAAGTCATTTCTTTGATTATTCTGACCCCTGGTGGCCATTGAAGGTCTTTATTTTTCAATAAAGGACTGGTTTTTTCCTTAGCTGTGCGCACTAACATCTCCTGGAGGAAAATCCTTTCACAATGCATACAAATCACATTGTACACTTTAAATATCCTACAGTTTTATTTGTTAATTATACTTCAGTAAAAACTGGGAGTGGGGTAATATTATATTGCCAAAAATAAGTACTTAATCAACATGCTTGTCTTCAATATGGTAAGGATGCTTTATAGAATGTGGAAAAGAGAACATTATATGTAGTTTAAGACAAATGACTACTCTATTGCTTTAATACATTCATTTAATAAATACTGACTTCTATGTGCAAAGCACTAGGTCCCAGAGGGGAAGTACCGCTGACTCAAAGCAGCATGAATGAACCAAGAGGAGCACGGAGTGGTACGGGAATATCTGGTGGGGTTAATCCATTTCAGACGATGACTGGAGAGCAAAATCAACTCACTTGAATGACAGCAGAAAAACCATGTTCCAGGGAACACACAGGGAGGCTCTGGGGTAAGACAGACTGGTAAGGGATGTATGGCTTAAGCATGGAGTTCAAGGGCAAGGGTACCACTTAACTGAAAATGAAGGCTGAGGAGGTGGGCAAAGGCCAAATTTTTCAAGTGGTTTTAATTCTTTTAGTACCTAAATTTCCTTATTTTTTTCCTATCAAAGCCATAGGCTAGGTCAAGTCCACAAACCACTACATGAGGCATCCTGTGAATCTTCCCACCTGCGCTCTCACACCCTCCACAAGTCTTTCTCCACTATTTTATCCTCCTCTCTCCTCTGGTACTTATTCTGTTCATTGCTCATTGAACAAATCAGTATCTCAGAGGCCTCTACCCACCTGAGACTCCCCTGCCTGGTCATTATGCAGGGGGCTTCTGAATGGACCAACAGGCACTCGACCCCGGGGAAGCCCATCCACCCATGAAGAGTCTGTGTACAGGGCTTTGAGGACAGTGGTTATTTTGCTGAGCCAATGTGACCAGATTTGGACCACGGAACACCTTAGAGGCTGGCAGAAGTTTGAGAAGAAAACAGACCACAAGAAACAGAGGGGGTCGCTGATCCCAGAAACACTGGCACTCGACCTTACAATAAACCCCCTTCGCCCGAGGTGGTCCCAGCGAGACTCTATCCTTGGAGGCACTGGGGGGCCTGGCTGACTCAGCACCTTACTATCCCACAGGCTTTCTGTTTTCTGTCACCGTGTGTCGTTTAACTTTTATGCTATTATTCACCTCACTGTAGCAATGGTCTCTGAAGACAGAGGTCACATGCTCAGCTTCCTGTGTTGGTCACAACACTATAAGCCCTCAACACATATTAGATGAAGGGCAGAGGCATGGAAGGATAGATAGATGAGCAAACTAATTCCTAAAGAATTTATAGTGAAATCAAAAAGTGGGAACTGAAACTAACACCTAACTCTTTAAAACTCACAACATGCTTCCTAAATCCTCAAACCCCATTAATCTCCATACGCTCCAAACTTCCAAATCTGACACAGGAGGCTCCCTGCCTCTACGCCAACCCTTCCCTCCCCCACACCTCACAGACATCTCTTTCCTCCTTCCCTAGGAGCTCGGCTGTCCGCTTCCCCAGTGTCCATCCCCCTGCTCTAGACCTTCCTAGCTCCTGGACGTGCCTCCGCACGCTCTCGTTCCCATGCCTCCCCTCCCGTGGCACAGCCTCTCCACAAGCACAGCGTGCTCTTCATCTGTAAGCAGATGCTCAAAAACACAGGTGCTGACTAAGGTGGGCTAGCTCTGCTTGGGGGATGTGGCTCCAGAAAATGTTAACCAAAAGGAAAAAAATTTTTATTAAGTACTTGGTACTTCTATCTCACCTCAGGTCTAATGCTAATGAAGGATTATTCCTTCTAACACAGTTGGTCCCACTGGGGCAGAGAGAAAGTATTTTCCCCCAGGAGACGACATTTGGCAAAGTCTGGGGACAGCTTTGGTTGTCGCGACTTGGAGGGAGGAGAGAGCCACTGCAGGCACCCGGTGGGCGGAGGCCCGCGATCCTGGTAACTGCCTTCCCACGCACAGGCACCCACGGCAAAGAATTTTTGTCCAAAATGCTGACAGTGAGAAGCCCTGTTCTAATAGAATTATTTTTAAAGCTCTCAATCACAAGTTTATTTTAATAAATTCCAATGAGAAAATATTCAACGAATCTTCAAACATCACACAGTGAGGCCCAGGAGAACAGCAGAGCCACGGAGGGGGTTTGAATGCCCCTGCCTGCCGGATCTCAGAGCCGCACCGTCAGCAGCAAAAAAAGGAGGCAGGAGGGAGAGCTGGGGAGAGGGGGTTGGGGAACAGAAGGTTGGTGTGGCTCTTTAAACTCACTGTGTTTTTTAAAACAAAGGTAAAAGTAGGAGTTATTATTCTGAGACAAAAAATTTGCAGAAAAGCAGTTATGTATTCATTACTTAGTTTTAAAATACTGGATGCATGAAATAAATAAACATCATTTAGTCAGTTTTACACTAACATGTGAAATGTTTTAATCTCGAAAAAATGACATTATAGAAAAAGGCAACAATGATTAAAACTCTAATGTGTTATATAAGCTGGGCTAACCCACTGAAAAACACAGTAAGTTAAAAATAAACCACTTAAATTGTCTAGGTGTTCAGACTGATCTTTTCCTGTTCTTTGAATAAATGACTTTGGATATATTTCTCCACCTGATCTATTTAAATCATTTTAACATTCCCCTTAAAGATATATTTATACTCACATTCACTTGAACCTGAATGGACCAGTCACCAAGTATCGGATGGGAAGACAACTGAAAAGTTTTGGAAACGACTCCAAGATCACCTTTTTCCGACAACCACTGTTGAATCAGATTCGACTTGGGGTCCTACAACGAAAACACACATGTTCACTGTATGAAAACTGCCTGTGTGCACTGCACCCTACCCGGTTATAAACGGTCCCATCAGCACTCCCAGGCACACACAAAATGCAGCACGGAGATTTTCTTTTAAATGTCAGCTCTAAAATAAGTAAGATAGATAGAGAGATAGCTAGATAGATTAAATGTCAGCTCTGTACTACTAAAGACGACAAACCAAAATTTCTTCTTTGCTCATATTTTCCAGAGACTATTTGAACTCTGCTCCATCATCTGGTTCCTGGCACCACGTCTCCTCCCACATGAGAAACTACAGCACGCGCATCACCAAACCTGTGTTGTTGTCGCTGCTGCTGCTGCTGTTGTTAAAAGGCAATTCCCCTGCAGAGGTGACAGGCTCCATGCATTAAAGGCCCACGATGCGTCAGGCACTCTGCCTCATCATTGCAATTCACACACCTTTCAATCATTAAAACTCTCCTTCCAGGTATGGTTACCCCACAGTATAGTTGAGAAAACTGCTGCCTGGAGACGTTAGGTAACCACTCGACTGTAAGCAGTCAACATGGCCCCATGTTACAGCACCAACACACGGTGGAATTCAGGATTCAAATCCATGTGTCTTAAGTTCAAGAAAAGTGTCTCACAGAGATGTTTAGCCAAGGGGATGCACGAAAAACACCTGTGTCTTCCTATACTCCCCCGGACGACAATCCCTTCATGCAGCATCCATCCTGGCCAAACCAGCCGTCGTCCCAGAGTCCTCTCCCAGCCCCAGCCCTGTCACCTCTGTCTCTTCGCTATCTCCCTAATTTCTCTGCTTCCCACCCTCCCATATAGCCACCAGGTGCTGTTTTTTAACTCCCAAGTGCAAGTAATCTCCCTCCTCTAGTCATGCCCCTCCAATACTCCTTCCCTACCACAAACAGTGCTATCCTGAAACATAAATCTGGGACTGAGGCAAGGCAGTTGAAATGGCTGGCACAATTCCTGGTATACAAGTAACAAACAGTGAATAAACATTGGCTATGATCATTCTACTAGAGCACTAGTAACGATAGCTTTTGTTTACCTACAGAATGAGGTCTGTACTCCTTTGCAGAGTTTACAAGCCTTGGTAAGCCGACCCCTTTTACATTTCTAGACTCATCTTCCCCCAAACATGCATATTTGTTTGACTTTTACCCCCCAAACCCATGCATCTAAGCCTCTACATGGAATTGCTGCATGGGATGCCCTCCCCTCCTTGTCCACCTGCTGAGATAAGCTGGTGTCCTGCCTCGGTACCTGCCTCCCACAGGCAGAAACGACGCCCTCCTCAAAAGCCCCAGGACATCTGAAGTTCACCCCTCTTGAATACATATTACTGTTTAAAGTATTCAGTAGTTATCTGGGGGGGAGGGGTGGTGTCTTGTTTATTTATTTGTTCCCAAGTAGACTGTGAACTCCTGAGAGCGGGGATCAAATATTTTCCTTATTATCATTCTTTATCCTTTGACTAGAAGTACTTGAATTGGTTCAGTTATTAGAAGCCAGAAGAAATCTTTCTCCCCAAGTAGGGGAGAATGTGAAAGTCAGGAGTAAGCACAATGCTGAGAATGGAGTAGCCAGAAACTAATTGTTAAAACCAAAGCCCAAAAGCAATCCAAGAATAAGCAGGTCTCCGTCCACGGTGGGCTCCTGAGACAGGCACTGCGGTCAGCAGGGTGAGCTACTGCGCCTGCCACAGCGTGACGCACAGGGGGACTCCGGGGTTTAGAGGCTCGAAAATAAAGGAAGAAATACACAGAGCTAATAAATATATGCTAACAATTAAAAGGACGCAAGTGAAAACAATGAAATATCCCTTTTCTTCTGTGAGACTGACGAAGATGAAATAGTAACAACGGTATCTCCCAGTGTTCCCGAGAGTGCAGGAAAAGGAGCGTTCGTCCAACGCTGATGTATTTTTATTCTGGTGAGGGTGCACACTTCTCCCAAGTGGTCTCACGGCCCTACGGACAAAAGAAGTCCACACTGAAGTCTTTGAGACGTCACCCCTGGGTGATCTGGAGCGTTGGGAGTGAATGAAATAATCCCTGTCATTTCCCAAGGCTGTCTTGGATGTGGGCCTAACTGTCACCAACAGGATGACAGCAAATGCAGAAACACCAGAAGTCTTTACAGAGCACGTCAGGATTTGAACAGGCCAGGCCTGGTGGCATCACGGCAGAACCCGACATCTGCACATGCTCATCACCTGGTGGGATGTACACGGGACAGCCACATGGAATGTGCACAGTGCCCCTGTCACAGCCAGAACAGCTGCACGAGGAGATGCTGGACAAGCAGCCCCTCGTGCCTCTGAGGCACCTCTGGCTGGCTCTGGATCGCCATTGGCTGCTTCAGTGCAGCACATGCCTGCTGCCTGCGCCTGTCTATCCTGAGCGGTGAACACCATGGCTGAAAAATGTGTCTGTAAGGAGTGTTTGTGCCACTTCTTGGAGTCCTGAATTATGCACACGGTGCCTGTCCAGCATGAAGAATTAGAGAAGTCCAGTCACTTAAACAAGGTGGCGCCCTCACGGGGCCACGGATGAGGTTCTGGTTTCATGGCTGCAACCAGGCCAGAGTGTCAGAACACAATCAGGGTACATCCCCCTGTTGAACAGGGTACAACATCTGTTCCCACATAAGGTCATTCACCCATATCAGCAGTAACAACTTCTTCAAGAACAGAGGTCAAAGTGGAAGCCAGCTGTGCCAATGGCCATCACAGCGTTGGAGGCACTTATTTCCATGATGTTAGGCCCGACTGGCTGGAAGAGGCCAAAATTAGGGCAGAATTGAACATGTTTTTTCCACTGCTGAAAGGCCTCTGAAGTCCCTTTCCCTCCTGAGAAGATCAGTTATTGGGTCAGGAAAAATGAGTAAGATCCAATGATGAAAGGAAGGGAGGGAGGGAGGAAGGAAGAGATGGAGGGAGAAAGAAAGAAGGAAAGGAAAGAAAGGAAGGAGGGAGGGAGGAAACCCCCCTAACTCCCCTGAATATGCTGTGACAGTCAGTATAGCTACATCCTTTGTGAGCTGGGCAAGATGCCCCCCAAAAGTCAACCCAAGCCTTCAGATGCACTTCCCCATTTTAGCCTGCAGATGGTGCTGTTAGGGAAATACAATTGTCCAAGTCAAGGCGCTCTTATTAAACAGTCCCACTTTTTTCTGGAAAGTTTTTCCAAAAAAACAATTCCACATTGAAAGACATAGAAAACATTACCACCTGGTGAAGGCTGGCCCAGATGACTGTTTCCGGAAGGAAGAGTACAGCGGTGTGGGCATTCGCATCAGGGCTGGGACCTGGCCTCTGCCAGTTACAGGAAGAAGACAGCAGACATGAGTTCATACTCAGCCTCACTGCCTGGATGCAGAGCGCAGAATATGACCACCCCCAGTTACTGTTCCTAAATACTTTGCATCCAGGTGAAATTTTAGTCTAAATTCCATTCTCCTGGCCAAGAGGGCCACAAGTGGGCCAAGCCAGTATCATCCCTCACAACCAGAGGTAGCAAGAGGAAGGTCTCTGTGTGTTTCTGGGAAAGCTGGATGTGGCAGGCTAAGTTCAAAACTGGAGAGCAGAGGGCAAAGAATCCACAAGTCAAAGGTTTTAAAGGCAGATGCTGGCGCAGAACAGAGAGGCGCAATCATAGCAATGCACAGAGCAGCTGTCCAGCATCAGCAGGGTTAGTTCTGGGATAATGCCGCAAAAAGGCATTTTATTCAAAGCTGAGTTTTATTGACCTAAGGTAGAAGGAGCCAAAATGGATATAAACAGCCAAAGATAAGCAGACATCCCCTTCTAAATCCCCCATTTTGCCCATAGTTTCTGGCATGTAGTAAATTCTCAGTATATTGGATAAATGATAAAGGATGGTATGAATGAAGTCCATTAAGCTCCAAGAGTTACATGAACCTAGAAATGCCCTTCTCCGTGTCAGCCTGCTTTAGACACTCCAACGTCTGGCAGAGGCAGAACTTCCCAGAGCTGCCCACCCTGCAGTAATCCTGGTTGACTTCAATAAAAATGCACTGAGCACCATGCCTACCAGTGTAGGATTTGCTACAAACACACCATGGCTTAAAAGTACATGTACCCATGCCTGTCCACTAGATTTTTGTTTGTTTGTTTGTTTGTTTGTTTGCCTGCTTGTTTAGTAACAAAGAAACTAAAAATGGGAAGATGCTGAATGAAAAGCCTGAATTTACCTCCCATTCTATGTTATTTATCAGAACATTGAGGGAAACCAATGTCCCAGACTAAGGGGTTCCTGGAACCAGGGACTTTCCGTCTTAAAATCAAGAGAGACCCAGACAAACTGGGATGAGCTGGTTGCCTTGTTTCCATGTTCTGCGTTAATGTCCAGCATCCTCCTCAGCTTAAATGTGGAAACCACTTCCAGCTGCATTTCGACTGTCTCCCACTTGGTTCTCACAGGAAAGCACCAAGTCGCTGACCACGCTGCCTCCGCAGCATCAGGGTGATGCGGCAGCAGAGGCCGAATGACTCCCAAAGGAGCTTCCTGTAATAACAGCTAGTGTTCCGGAGCATGCACTGGGGTGCCAGGCACAGTTCTAAATGCTTCACTTGCATCCTCTCACTTAATCCTCACAAGAAGTTTCTGAGATATTATTACACGTTTTAGAGATAAGGAAACTGAGGCTCAGGGAGGTTAATTTCTTCAAGGTCCCACAGCTAGATCTATTCTTAGACAGTGATTCTTTTAAGATGTTACATCAGATCACATCATGCCTCTTCTCAGCATTCTCATTTCACTCGGAATAAAACCCGAAGTCCATACAATGGCCAACAAGACCCTGTATGACCCCTCCTCCAACCCACCCACCTGTATCTCCTAAAATCTGTCCCCTCACTCCCTGGGGTCCAGCACACTGTCAGCCTGTGGTTGTCCCAATGCTCCTAACAGTGCCTTGGTGTGTGCTGTTCCCTCTGTGTTTATCAGCTCATTCTTTTATTTCCTTTAGGTCTCTGCTCAAATAGGATTTCCCTAATAACCACACGGGAAATGACAATCTCTTCTCTGCCTCTCTCTCACACACATACACACACACACAAATGTATACACATCTGTCCATCTACGTGTACGTGTGTGTTTATTTTCTGTTTCCCAATGCCCATTGCAATAGAAGCTCAATGTGAACAGAGACATAATGTTGTGTTCACTACCCTAACCCAGAACCTGGAACAGAAGTTCAATAAATGGTTCACGAATGAATAAATCAATGATGAAGAATTCAGGACTGGAACCCAAGCAAGCTGACTTTAGAGCCTGGACTCTCTCTTTCTTTTCCTTTTCTTTTTTTTTTTTTTTTTTTGAGCCTAAATTCTTAACCCAATGCTCTACCAGCTCCCTTCCTAGAGAGAGAATTCCATGTTGGGAGGAAAGATGTCCATGATGAATTCTAAGATAATGCGCAAAACTTAAAAGAGAGCTTCAGTAAGATGGCTTAAACTCCTTGCTTCATTTCTGTCTGGCACTTACCTTAATTAGAATGTTTAAGGAGGTTTTGTAAGGTTTAAAATCTGAGAAGAGTGTAACAATACGAAACTTCACTTCTTCCTTTGGCTTGTATAGGGGTTTGTCCGTTTGAATGAAGACAGTTATACTCTTGGTTTCGAATGATAAGCGTGTACTATTAGAGAATAAAATCTCATCCTCTGCGCGTCCAGTTACACGTAGCTCATAAATCTCGTTTGCACTGTTCAGAGGTAGCTAGGGAAAAAAGAGATCAGACATATCAAAGTCTCATTATTTCACCTCAAAAATATTCTTAATTATAAGGAGAAGAGAAAATGTAAACATACAGCATAATTAAAAGTAACTGCAATGTTGAAAATTTGCCCCTCCTAGGCCCCGAACTGAAACAATTTGCTCCCCTTTTTTTAACATCCTGTAGTTTGCTCTCCAATTAAATCACAGGATTTCTGGAATGTGAGACACACCTCCCACAGCTCACTCTCAGCTGCAGCCACTTGTCATTTCCTATTCCAAGTGCAAAGTCTTCCTTATTAAGAGTCATTATGGGTCAGAATGTCTAACATCCTTCCATGTTCTTTCCATGCCACGCCCTATCTGAGGCAGGCAGTCGGTGAAGGGCATATTCGCACAAGGTCTGGGTTCTGCTCTACGCGCTCAAGCTCGTTCTACAATGTGCTCTCTTCCTGCGCCTCGTGCACTGTGTCACTGTCCTGCGGGGCTACTTTTACCATTTCTATGAGAGAAATCCCACCTACCAGCATTAACAGAACAGAAGCCATACTCCGAAGTCTGAATGCGCTGTGTCATTTCACTCCACAATAATCCTTCTAATACAATTTTACAAACAAGGAAACTGAGGCCCAGAGGAGTTAAGAAAGTTGTTCCAGGTCAGCAGCTGAGATGCAAACCCAAGAGGAGCTATGCTACTCTTAAGATCCTTCATGTGGTGGTTTTTAAATATGTCCAGAAATTCTCTGACCCTCCTCCCTTGAAAAGATAGAGCCTAATTCCCCAGATTTAGTGGCTTCTCTAGAATAGAATGAGTCTGCATCACAGAAAGCATGGTTTCTGCCTTGTTCTCTCTTCCTTTGATTCCTCCCTCTGACAGTAGTCAGACACTATATGCTAAGGACGTTCAACAAGCCTGTAGAGAAGCCCACATGGGGTGGAGCTGAGGCCTCGCACCAACCCCCACTACCAACTCGCCAGGTGTGGGAACTACCTTACAGAAGATCTAGCCCTAGTGAAGCCATCAGATGACTGCAGCTCTGGTTGATATCTAGATTGCATTCTCATGAGACCCCAAACCAGGACTGCCCAACTATGTGGCCCCCAAATTCCTGGCCCACAGAAAGTTTGAGTAATAAAAGTTTATTGCTGTACTAACCCAAAGTTTTGGATTAATAAGTTACACAATAATAGATAACCAGCACACCTGACTTGTAGTTCATTTGCAGATGAATAAACTGAGGTTCTGCAACTCCATTCTGACTCCCTTTTGCAAATAAGTTTTATCCACAGAAAGCTCAGAGGAGATTTTCCAGTAATAGCTACCATAAAGCTAGGATTATGATGGTAAGAATAAGAAGGAAATGTAACAAACCACCAATAAAATGGTCAGCAGGAAATACTTAGGGAGAAAAGTACTGATGTCTGCAATTTCCTTGGAAATACATTTAAGAAACAAGATGGACCCTTGGTCAGGGAGCTCAGTTGGTTGAGAACTGTCCCAATGCACCAAGATGGCGGGTTCAAAGTCCGGTCAGGGCACACGCAAGAAACCAGCAATGAATGCATGAATACACGGAGCAACAAATCGGTGTTTCTCTCTGAAAAGTCAGTTGTCTTAGGGGAACTGAGAAAACATGGTAGTATTTCCATGTTTCCTTATTTTACTTCATTAATAACAGCAGTTACTATAAACAAATATGAAAATTTCAAATAATTTTCAAAATAAAATTGAGAAATATAAGATGATAGTTACTATTAAAAATAATACTAGTAATTTTACTTAACATAAACATTAAAAACATTTCTAATTGTAAAAATCACTCCCTTATTTTAAGTTATATTTACTTACAAATAATTTTTAACACATTTCTACAAAAAACAATCTTTGTATTAAGCAGCAATTGTTTTTATTTACTCCTTATTAAAGGCTCATTGTAGTGTATCAAAAGTATAAACAATGAGTAACCAGATGTTAATAACATTTGTTTTAAACAATTCAAATAGTCACATTTTACAGTAAAAAATTCAAGAAGGCCTTAAGAAATTTAAAGTACTACATTTAGCCCTGGCCAGTGTGGCTCAATGGATTGAGCACCAGCCTTGAAACAGAAAGGTTGCTGGTTTGATTCCCAGTCAGGGCACATGCCTGGGTCTTGGGCCGGGTCCCAGGTTGGGGGTATGCAAGAGGCAACCAATCGATATTTCTCTCTCTCTCTTCCCTCCCTTCTCCTCTCAACAAAAATAAATAAATAAAATCTTTTAAAAAATGAAATAAAATACTACATTTACAAATATCAGAATGCAAGTGTGCTTTGAAAGTTGGGTCTATTTTAACTGAAAACTTACAAAACTGCAGAACCTTCTGTTTTTGCCAGTGTTATCAAGTTTCCCCAGACATTTTATGAATAAGTCTTTAAAACTGCTTTAGTAAAAAGGGGCAAGTCCTAAATATAATCTCTAGTAAAGATTTCAATAAATAATTGCCATGGCTACATATAATAGAAATAGCATAATATTAAAGACACATATAGGATGTTGGAGTTAGTATTTCATATAGTTAAGACTTAAAAGAATAATAGTGGCCACACTGCCAGCTAATGATAGTTCAGACGAGTCCACTTTACTCCAGCAGTATTGGAATGAGCCCAAAGGCCCTTATCCCACCCACAGGCCTTCCCTTTTCAGCCTTTTTGCACTTCCGGCCTGTGCAACTGCAGATTTCTTTGAGGAAACCAGACAGTTATTGTGCTTTAAGCTATGATTCCTGAACTTAAGTCCCACCTCTTTCTGCTATAGGGAAATTATGTTACACAAAATTCATTTCAATCTTCTCATTTGAATGCCCTTTCAACAGTGTTATAGACATAGGCACTGGTGGCCAGTATCTAATGTTGTAGGTTACATCAATGCAATCTAATGTTTTCTTGTCACCAAGATGGGTTCCCAGCGCCACTTTTGCCTGCTGTGCCCTTCCCCTACCCACCCCCACTTTATTTAGTAATAGAAAAGATGAATATTTCTTAGTAAGGAAAACACAAATACAATAACTAAGAAACTTAACAGCTGTGGAGAATATAAGTAACTTTTATGAGGTGTTGTTTGGGAGCACTAGGTTCTCTAGGAACCCCTCAAAATGAATGTGGTTTCTGCATGTACTTGACATGTAACCTTCAAGAGGTAATGGGGGAACCCAGCTCATCAAGTAATGCTGACCCCACGTATGGAATGTGTCAGGGTCAAAGTCATTAGTCATCTATTCTCAGATAAGTATGATAAATTGTACCTCTTGTTGGATGCTGTGGTCTACTCTATTGTACATCAAACCATGAGACGCTCCAAAATGAAGCATAGTAATAAAAGTACAAACTTGCAAATCAAAGCTATGGGAACTAGGATTAGTTCACAAACAATATTTAATAATCACATTCTATTATTCGATATTCCCTCAACACAGTGATAACCCCTTGGCATGTGTGTATCAAATTTCACAGCATTCTGACATCTCATTTCACCTGCAGGGAGCCGCCATGAAACAGAGACAGTGTCTTACCGCCTTCTCCAAGGCTGGGACTAGAGTGAGGTGAGTGAGGCACTCACCTCAGGCCCAAAATGTAAGAGGGTTCCAAAAAGCTCAGTAATCAAAATAAATAATGTTATTTTAGGTAGTTTAAAATATCAAAAATAATACAAATAATTAAATCATGAACAGAAAATTGGAATTTTAAACAAAGACAGGATCAGTATTGCTGATGCTTTCTTTTGCATTAGGCTCCGACATGGCTCAGCACGACTCTGCCCTTTTCCGGCACAAGGAAACTACCGTATTTTGCCATGTATAATGCACAGTATTTTTGCCCAGTTTCTTTAGGGAAAAAATAAGAATGTACATTACACATGGGTAGTACTTGAAATACCTTGTATCTGTTCTTGTGTTTTATAATTATTTGTTATGTAAAATTTCTTGTACCATAATATGTTTGAAAATAAACGCTGAAATTCCTTTACAACACAAAAAAAAACAAGCATCTAAATATAAATAAATAATTGAATTAAAAAATGAAAATGAAAGATTTTTTTCCTGAAAGTCTGGGCCAAAAATGTGGGTGCGCATTATACACGGCAAAGGATGGAGTGTTAATTACACGCCCAGGACTGCAGGGTTCACTACAGCAGAAGCAAGATCAAACTGGCCCAGGCTCCTGAATAGTCCAGGCCAGCTTCCCTCAGTTAAGTTCTCTGTTTTATAAGAGGAAAATCTCTGCTAGGAGTTTAAAGGAATATTTTTTCTCAAATAGTCTGAAGTTGGAACAAAACTCAAGCCAAACACACAAAAATTAAATTGATAATAAAACCAATAAAATGTCAATGTATTTAATTCACTGATGCAATGTATATTTCCAAAACCAAACTTTTAATGGATACTTACTGATGGGAGAATAAGTGTCCTGAAAGAGCCTAAAAGAAAAAGGAGAAGAAAAAAGAGTCATAATTTGAATCCAATGATACAACCCTGAACTCACAAGACTCCCCTGATACTCTTGCATATGGAGGGAATTGTAAACTAATGAAATCATAAACTTATTTGGTCAAACCAAAACAATTTTATTAATGCTCAGAACACCTGAAAGATTATTACATATTCTTGTGCCAAAGAATTAAGGAAAACTGAACCAGACTTAAAGTGCTATCAGTGGATGAACTCCCCCCAAAATCAGTAAGTTCTACTTTTCTTTTTCCATAATCATTTTTGTTGTCATGGTCACTGCTGTTCTTGTTGCTGTTTTAAGGTTATACACATCTGAGCAACACTTCAGACAGTGCACAGAAGGAATCTGAGGTTCATTACTTATGTTCTCATACCCTCATGACAACGGAAGAAGTGGAAGAAGGCATTAGTCATGTCAGTGGTGAGCTGGGACTCATAACTGACTCATTAGTATTAGAGTGATGCAGAGTATTTTTATGTAAAGTTTCTAAACATAGGACTGCTAATTCAACTCATGCTAGTTTCTCATCAGATCCCTTTATTTCAAGGGAAAAAGCATTTCATGTTAAAAATAAAAGAGTATGTATCCACAGTTCCCATTTAGGTGACATGAATTCAGAGATGGTGACAGACCCTCAGTTCCTTTGTTCATTTAAGAAGTATTTATCCAGGGTACCAGAATGAACAAGACAAACACGGTCCCTCTCCTGGAGGTCATGTGTCTATTCCACAAGGGCAGCCCAGCGCAGAGCAAGGGTTAAGCGAGTGGCCTCTGGAATCAGACCACGCCAGCTTTATCCTGAGTCAGTTACATACCACCCTGGTCCTTGGCCATATTACCCAATTCTCCAGAGTCAGTTTTTTTACCCTTAAATTGAGGGTGCTAACAATCATACCAATCTCACAAGGCAGTTGTAAGGAATAAGTATGTAGACGCTTGTAAAGTGTATAGAAAAATGCCTGGCACATAGGAAACACTTTGTAAGTGTAAGCCATTATAGCTGGAAGAGTTTGCGCATTGGGAATGTTAGTGTGCCTCTATACAAGTGGTCTTCAAATGTTTGTGATGGAGTGTTCAATCAATAAAATATCTAGTATTGTACACATTACCAATGTCAACTCAGATTTATAAAGATATACATGCACTTTATCAAACAAAATATTAAATATTATAAAACCTTAATTTCTTAGTTTTGCTCAGAATTATAGAATAAAAGTTAGTAACTGTTCTACCCACATCCTTATAAATGGGCTTATGCACTCCCAGGTGTGTGCACACCCACTCTGGAGACCACTGCCCAATGGGCCTCAAGGAAATACAAATATGTTTTCAGGAGCAGATAAGCAATTCACCAACATCATTTACCCCACTTAGAACATATCCGTTTATCCAATAACTGCCGGCCGCTACAGAGAGCAAAGAGCAGGAGTCTTAGGTAACAGGTCATTGGAACAAAAAATGTGTTTGAAAGATGAAGGAAGAAAATTAAACACGGGCTGCAACTGAGGTGGAGCAGGGAGAACAAAAGAGGGGTCAAGGGAAAATGCCTAGAGAAAATGATGCCGGAGTCTTGGGTTGCAGGATAAGGAGAAATTAGCCAGGTAAGGAAGGAGAGGAAGAGTTTCCAGGCAGAGTGGCAGGAAATGCAAAGGAGTAGAGGTTAACATGAGTCTATGGAAGCGAAGATCTTGGGTGAGACAAGATCAGAGGTAGGAAGAGGGTGGTAAAGATGAGAGACCTCTTAGACACAGTGAGCCCTCTCCAGGACTGTCCCTGGTTACACTGTTATCCTAACCCCCGGACACAGCATTCTTGCTGGGCTTTTCTTTATTTAGCAAAATATTTGTATGAGATGGCTTTAATTTGCACAATACTTAACTTTGAAATTTTATAATCATGCTTTGGAAATATTTCAACTTAAGGAAGAAACTTTGACTCATCAGTTCTTTATTTTTTAGTAAACAAATTTTTAAAATTCATTTTAATTATGTTTTCAGCTGCTTCTGTCTTTGGAGGCTTTTAAAAAGAAAACCAAATTAGGTCCACTTCGATGTCCACTAATTTCTTTTCATGGACTTTGTATGATGCTGGCAGGTCACATCTCAGCTCTGCAACAATGTCGATCTTGATTTTCCATTCTTTTGAATGTGTTCTCCAGTTACGGATTTGTGTAAAGACTATATTGCTGTTCTTGCCATCCTCAAAGCAGCCTTCAGAAATGCCATATCTGTCCCTCTATTATTTTTGGTGTCAGAGGGAGGATTCATAATTACTGTAAAAAGTTACTGGGCCATTCTGTTAGATAATGAACACACACCACATCGAACCAGGTCAACATTTGTTAACTCAGACTTTCCCTCACTCCTGTTACATATTCCCAGTGCATCTTCATCTATGTCGAATCCAACACACAGCTTGTGATGTGAGGCCTGGTGGAATACTGGTGGTGTGGCTGTTCCGAACCCAACCACTTGTTCCGGCGACTCTCCAGTTCCTTGAGCCTTAATTTCTTCATTTTTAAAAAAGTGTGGGCTCTCCGGGTTTACAGGCAGTGGATCTGCAAAGAAACCTGTTTAACCTGAATTTCCTATACCCCTCAACCCCCTGGCCCGTTTTTTAGTGCTACTGACTAAGGGGCCAGGCAGGGGAGGAAGAACCAGGGGAACACTGGGGCCCAGGCCATTTCTGCTCTTCTCCTCCCACTACTGGCGGAGGGAGTCTTCTGCCAGCCTCTGACCACCCTGCCTCCAGGGTATTCGCCCCCCACCAGTTGGGATTCTTGGAGATCAACCAAGGCTCCAACCTGGATTTCACACACCGCATCGGGACATTTCAAGAAGCTTCTGGCACAGTCATGCCAGAAGCCTAGTTCTTATTTTTAATGATACAGTGAGTTGACCAAAAAGGCCCTTTAGTTTTTTCTGTGAAATAAAAGACATTTTTTCACTTTCACCAATAGCTTTATTGCTTTGGATATTTTGAGTATATCGGCTATCTCCCACATGGTACAACACTGACTGTTCTCAATTAATGTCTCAATTTCATCTCCATCCACTTCAGCTGGTCCACCCAACCCTGAAGCATCGTCCAGCGAGAAATCTCTAGAACAAAACATCGCAAATCACTTTTGGCACATTCCATAACTTACAAGACCTTCCCCATACACTCCACAAATCTCTTTCTAGTTGCATTTTTACCTTTCTTGAAATAATAGAGCATGATATGCCAAAAATGTTGTGTATTTTCTTCCATCTTCAGTATTAAAATGACTGTACCCAATTCACCAATTTTGTAAGTTCTTTTAAATGCACTCGGATATGGCAGCTGTCACAATACAATCTAACAAAATTGTTTTTAATGAAGGACAAGTTAGTGCTACTAGAGCCACCTTGCAGAAAAAAACAAACGAACTTTTTGTCCAACCCAACAGACACATTCTATACGGAACTGAAGTGAAATTGAGAAGCCCTATGATACTGCAGGAACTAAACTTGGTGAAACACCCAAAAGAACCACAGGCAGACAACTTACTTGACAAGTTCTGTCTTATAAAAACATTTATCAAAAAGAGATATGGTACTCTGCAGACAAAGAGACGACCATGGAAATATTTGGGCTGAAACACTGAAACATTCCTATATGGAAACAATTTGGGATTGAGAATATCTGCCACAGAGCAGAATTTGCTCTGATCTTACCAGGTACCTCAGCACATGTAGAGAAAGTGTTTTCTCAATTAAAAATATGGTCACTATATACCAACAATGAACAACTGGAATTTGAAATTAAAAACAAGAACATGAAATACTTAGGTATAAATTTAACAAAATATCTAAAGGAGGTACAAGATCTAAATGAGGAAAACTACAAAACTCTGCTAAACAAAATCAAAAAAGAACTAAATAAATAAAAATATATTCCAGCTTCACACACAGAAAAACTCAATATTGTCAAGTTGTCAGTTCTTCCCAACTTTATCTACATATTCAATACAATCACAATCAAAATCCTACCAAATTAATTTATGGACATTGACAAACTAGTCTAAAGTTTCTGGGAGAGACAAAAGACCCAGCACAGCCAACTCAATAGGGAAGGAAAAAAATTGGAAGAATGACACTATCAAATCTGAACACTTACTACAGAGCTACTGCAATAAAAAGAGTGTTGTATTGGGAGAAATAAATAGACACATAGATTAATGGAGGAGAGCAGAAAGCCCAGGAATAGACTGCCCTAAATATAGTCAGTTGATTTTTTTTTTTGCTTTATCCTGAATTTATTTTTTTTTACTTTTTTAAAAATTTTATTTAATTATTTTTCAGTCAGTTGATCTTTAACAAAGCAGCAAAGGCAATGAAATGGAGCAGAGAGAGAGTCTCTTCAACAAAAGTACTGGAACAACTGGACATCCACATGGAACAAAAATGAATCTAGACACACACTTTATACCCTTTACAAAATTCAACTCAAATTGGATCATACACTTAAAGGTAAAAGGCCATTAAAAGAAAAGAAGGAAACTTAAATGCATATTACTAGGTGGAAAAAAGCCAGAACAGAGGCTTTTCAGACTGTATAATTTTCAGACTGTGTAATTCCAACTATTTGAAGTTGTGGAAAAGGTACAATGATGAAGACAATAATAAGATGAACAGGCAGAGCACAGACTTCTGGGCAGTGAAAGTACCTTGTATGATATTGTAATGATGGATCCATTATTCCATGTTTGTCCAAATTTATAGAATGTACAACATCAAGAGTGAACCCTAAAGTAAACTATGGATTTGGGGTGATTTTGATGTTATGATGTGTCAATGTACGTTCATCCTTGCTAAAGAAAATCAATACCATTCTGGTGAATGATGTCGACAACAGGGGAAGCTATACATGTGTGGAGGCAGGGGTGACACAAGAAATCTGCAAAAGATAAAACCATGTACACATATGACTATATCTACATAGATA